TTTTCCCCTTTGTAAAACTGGGATAGGAGCACTCACGTTACTGGTTCACAGCACTGGCATGAGAATTAAAGATGATGAATGTAAGATAGTATACTAGCTTCTATTATTATTGGCATTTCTCACTGGCCCATAATGTCCCATCAGATTCATGGGCCACACTTTGTTCAGTCATTCACCGATCATTAGGTGCATGGATTATTTCCAGTTTGTTTGCTCTCATTTGTGATGCTACGAAGGCTATTTTTGTACAGATTTTTTTTTCCTGTTGATAACATCCTTAGTATATGGTTCCAGGAATGGGATCCCCAGGTCAAAAAGTCTAAACTATTATGTAGTCATTATTGTATTATTCAACAATAATATTCTCAGAGAAAGCTGAAAGCTAACAGCTAACATTTATATAGCATCTACAATGTACCAGGCATGGCTATCACATTTGATCCTCATGACTCTGGGAGATAGGTGCTATTATAGTCCTCATCTTAAATTTGAGGAAACTGAGGCAAACAGAAGTTAAATGACCTGCCCAGGGTCACATAGCTGAAAAATGTCTGAGGCTGGATTTGAACTCAGGTCTTTCTCACTCTGGTGCTCTATCTAGCCTGGACCTCCTGGCTGAGACCAGGTGTTATGAAGTTTCTGCAGGGATACATGTCAGCTTCTAAAATCTTCTGTTCTATAATTCTCCCATATGCAGGAGGAATAGAATCCCCAGTCTCCATCTGACCTGGAAAACTTAGTGGATTCAATTTATTTGGTACTTGAATAGAGGCAGTCTCAGATTTGGGTTCCTGCTGCTCCTGAAACACCTGAAGATAGAAAGTGCAATGAGCTTACCTATCAGTTCTGATATATGCATGGAGCTCAGCTTTTTTTTTTTTCATGGAAGTTAGGTGGCAGACTAGAGTTCCTGACAGTCAGAAAGAGCTCAGTTCAAATCCTACCTGAGACACTTACTAGCTGGATGACCTTGGACAAGTCTCTTAGCCTCTCTGAGTCTTGGATTCTCAACTGTAAAATGCGCCCTAAAACACCTCCCTCCCAGGATTGATGTGAGGATCAGTTAAGACAGTGTATACAAAATGCCTCACAACCTTAAAGTGCTAGATATTATTGTTGTTGTTGTATATGTTTAGTACCAAAATGCTAGATATTGTTATTATCAGCTCCCATGACCAAAAGACTTTATTAATGTGATTGAAAATTAGCATGATAGATAATAGGTGCCATTGGTGTGCTAAACACCCTCTAGGACCAATGAATATTTCACAATCAGAATCCCAGGAATTTAGAGATCCAATCAAGTTTCTCCTGTTATAGAGGAGGAATTCTTAACCATCTTTTAAAGCCCAGTTCAAATTCTACTTCCTTCATAAAGCCTCAAGTCCCTCTGGTTACTAATGACCTTCATCCTCAAACCTCATGCGGTACTTTATTTTTTCTTTTGGACCTGACTTGTATTTCATCTTCCTCAATAGAATAGAATCCTTTTTGAGAGTACAGTCTGCTGTGCATGGGGTGTTTAATAAATGCTTAGCACCTTCTTCCTAATGTAACCACTGAAGAGAAGCATCAGAAGAAACCATAGGGGTCATCTTGTATAATCCAATGACTCTGGCCTCCATGTTGTTCCCCACACAAGACACTCCATCTCCTGACTGGGAGCATGTTGACTGGCTGTTTCCCATGTGTGGAATGCTCTTCCTCCTCATTCCTGCCTCTTTGCTTCTTTAGTTTTCTTCAGGCTTCACCTGAAATCCTACCTCCTCAAGAATATCAATGCCCCTTCAGTCTGATATCACCCCTACTCTGTCCTGTGTGTCATGTTTGTACATGGCTGTTTTCATGATGTCTCTCCCATTAGAATGGAAATTCCTGGAGAGCAAGGATTGTGCTTTTGCCTTTCTTTGTGTCCCCAGTGGTTAATACAGTCCCTGACACCTTAATAAATGATTGCTGGCTTGTGGGCCTCCACACCATGACGAAATATCAAAGTAGGCTTTTAGGCCCCACAAACATTTATAAGAAAATCAGAGAATAGAGACCCTACTTGTAATCTAAATGTCTAAAAGCGATAATATCATACTTGGTCCTGTCCATGAGCAAAAGAGGTTTTCTTTCTATCCTTGGATGAGCATGAGACTGAGATGAAGCATGTTAGTCTCTTGGGAATTGTATCCAGCCAATGTCTGCCACTTCTCCCCCAGGGACTCAGCTGGGAATTCCCAATAGCCTAGGTAGCACATCATTAATTCCATTCATTTCTCCACTGGCAAAATCCATGAAAAAATTGGGCAAGTGATTGGATGGAACTGAATTCTATCCATGGAGGACAAACCAAACATGCCCTATGTGGATGCTGTGGTGCATGAGATACAGAAATATATTGAACTGGTTTCTTCTAGACTGCCACATGAAGTGACCAGGATGTCCAGTTCAGACAGCAGTTCTTATGTAAGGTCAGAGGTGCTTCAGAGAGCAATTTCAAGGGACCAGGAGAATCTAGACTCCCTCCATACCCCAGATCCTTCCCTACCCCATTGTCCTAGGCATAGAGAGGAGTTGACTCATGGCTGGTATGGCATAGATCACAGGAGGGAAGAGCCCCAGAGAGACCTGAACCAAGCTATGTAACTTCTAGCCCAAGTAGAAGATCTCTAAGCATAATCTTGGTTTTTTGCAGAAAAACAGATCTGCTTGGGAAAAGACCTGGCTCAGATGGAGTTATCGCTGTTCTTGACTGCCATTGCTCAGAAATGTACCCCTGAGGCTCTTGTGGATTCAAAGGAAATTGATACCACCACTATTGCTGTTGGAGTTTTCCATGTCTCACCACGTTACAAGCTCAGCTTTCTTCCTCATTAAGGAAAAAGAAGATAACTGGTCTGGATTGAGGCAAATCAATAGCCAATAGTCCTTTCCTGAACCCCATTCCATCTTGTCTTGGTAAATAGTATGCTCCTGAGGGCAGGAGCACTGCCTGCCCTTGTGAGCAGACTGCCTAACATAAAAATAGTTATATCAGTGGAACCCTGGGCTGTCTAGGGCCATGGATGAGGATGAATTGGGAAACAGGAGCTTTCTAAGATCTCTGGAAATGACCTGGGTAGTGGGGCTTAATAATTCTGAGTTTTGATGCAATGGGAGCATCCTAGGGCAGGAAACATCCTCTCAGATTCCTTCTATTTCTAAATCTGTTGTGCTAAGATCCTCCTCCCTTGATTAGGCAAAGGATTTCACTAGTTTGCTGAGTGATTGAATGGCAACAGAGTCAAAGGACCAGAAACACTAAAATTATTATTCACACTAACAACATGGAAGTGACTGTGTGGAGTGTTCCAGGGTGTGAAGTCACTCCACCAAAATGGATCAGGATGAGATAATAATAGCTGCCATTTCTATGTCACCTTAAGATTTGTAAAACGTTTTATGGACAACATCTCCTTTGATCTTCACAATCTTGCAAGGTAGATTGGAAGCTTGCAGATGAGGAAACAGAAACTTACAGGGTTAAGTGACTAGCCCAGGATCATATAGCTATTAAGTGGGGGGCGGGGGGGGAGATTTAAACCCAGGTCATCTTAACTCTAAGACTAGCCTTGTAGCTTCCTCTAACACTTATGATACCTTGTATTTACTTAACAGCTGGGGTTCACAGTTTAGCTAGATGCAGAGTTTATGAAGGACAACAGTATGAGGTAAAATAATCTAGAGTTAGAGAGGGCCTCAAACGTCAAGATAAGGAGTTTATACTTTAGATAACAAGGTTGGTACCAAAGATTTGGGGAACAGAATTCTGGCATGATCATGGGTCACGATAGTTACTCATCATCTAGGGGGCTGACCTACTGGTGATGAGCCTCTCCACTTGTAGTGAGAAAGCTGGGGACCACTGACCAAAGAGATTCCTGTCCAGGTACTGATTGGACTAGAAAATCACTTCAGTCCTTTCCTCTTCTGAGATTCTATGATCCTATTTAGGACTGGAGGACTCCCAAGAGGCAGTATAGATAGCCCTTGCTCTAGAGTCAAGAACGTAGGCTCAAATCCCATTTTGAACACTGCCTGTGTGACCTTGGCCATGTTGCTGATTCTGCCATTTGTAAAATATGGGAATGGGATTAGAAGAACTCCAAGTTCATCTCAGCTCCACAGCCTAGGGTGCCACCTTCAGAACAAAGGTTGCCATATTTGAATTCACTGACTTGTGTGCACCCATAGAGTCTGGGCTGGAGAGCCCATAGCTCAGTTCTGACTTAATCCTTCCTTCGGCAGATGGGGAGCCCGAGTCAGAGAGATCAAAAGACTTGCCCCAAATCATACAAGTAATAATAGCATGTCACACCTATGTCACACTTTCTGGTTTATAAAGCACTTTTCTTTCAGTTCTGTGAAATGGGTGGCCAAATATTAGAAAGAGTAGAAAGGGAAAGGAAAGAGTGTTGGACTTCGAGGCAGGAAGGACCTAAGTTCAAATCCCATCCCTGACACTTACTAGCCGGATAATCATGAACAAGTCATGGAATTTCTTTGGGATGCTTCTTCCACTTGGAGTGGAAAAGATCTGCCAGCTACATTGGAAGGAGTACTGGCTTTGGAGGCAGAGCACCAGCTTCCACCCCCCACACACAAAAAAAGTAGAGATAACTATGTTACCCATGTACAAAGCTGCTTTTGAGGAGCAAAAGAGCTAATATATGGAAAGTGATTTGAAAACCTTGAGACAATATAAATGCAAATGATTATCACCTCCTGTTCTGTCTCTGTCTCCCAGGCCCATCTTCCCCTCCCACACACCAGCACTAACCTTATTAAAGATGAGTCTGTGGCCAGGTTAGAGGCCAGGATCAGTTTGTGGCCTAGGCTCTAAGCCAGTCTGGGAAGGGACAGCCAGAACCAGATTCCTCATCAACGCAGGAGCCCCTTCCTCCTTCACCTGATGCTATCTAGGGGTAGTTGTGCTTTTTTCAAAGGGATGAACTGGAGAGCCAGCTGGGAAACATGGTTCAAATACAGTTTTATTTTGGTATCACTTGTAAATAAATAAATACATAAAGCATACCCAACATCTATGGAGTCCAAATGAACAGAGGGAAACAAGGAGGGAGGAAGGGAAGAAGCAGCAACAAGGATGCTCAGATAGATGGACAGATGGACTAATGTGGGGGAGACTTAAGCTACAGGTAGGAGTAGAAGGAAGATACCCAGCACACGGCTACTCAACACATATGCTCTAGAACCTGATATTCACATGTAGCATGATGTGTTCATCCAGTCAGGAACAGGGAAGAAGGGAGGGAGCTGGGTCCAAGAAGCCATCTTGTTCAGGTGACAGGGGAGAAGGTTAGTGTCAGCTACTGGCTCCACAATCCTTGGCCTGGCTCAACGATGGTTCCCCAGCTAGTCTCTGCTGCCCTCAACCTCAAGGAGAGACAAATGAGGCACAGAGTAAACACACACACACAAACTATAATAACCTGCCCCACTCTCACTGCCCCCAAACATAATACCAAGCTATATACTTCCTATACAAACATGGCAGGGAGTCAGGCCTGTCATTGGTAGGACACTCTCCCTGAGTCATGCCTCCTGCAGTGGGGATGAGCCCAAAGCAGCCCACTTACCCATTCCCTCTTGTGACTCTGGGTATATATTGTTTCAGAGTTAGCTGACAAGATTAGGAGTTGCTCTACGGCTAGCACTGGGCTGCAGTCTGAGGCAAGGGTCAGAGGTCAGTTTGTGACCAGGTTTAGAATCAGTCTCTGAACTGGAGAAGGAAATGGCCAACCACTTCAATATCTTTGCCAGAAAAAACCCAAATGGGGCCACAAAGAATAGGATGCGATTGAAAAACGACTGAACAACAATAGTAGAAATTCCTTCTAGAGAAAGATGCTCTAGGCCTAAGGGAACGTGCAACAGGAGAATGAACCTAGGAAAGATGGGGGGGGGTAAGACCCATAGGAGGAAAGTTCTCCATATTCTGCTGTCTCTAAATAAGTTTTCCCCAAGTCCAAGAGGCTGACAGTTGGAAAATCCTGGAGAACAGACAGAAAACCTGTAGAGCCCTGAGAAGACAGGGAGGGAAGCGTTGGAACCCTTTACCTCTTCAGTAGCTTCTGCTGGCTGGTCTTCTGGGGCCCCATGCTCAGCTGGAGATGGATGTACCAAATCCTCCTAGGAAAACAAAAGGTGCAGCCGGTTGGAGGCGTTAGGGCAGGAGCCCAGAGGGGTTAAACAGGCAGAGGAATGGGGGCAGGGAGTGAGTGTGGAAGCATGACAAAGAATAAGGGAGAGGGAGGGTGGGGAACAGGATGAGGGGGAAGGAAAAGGGGAGACGGAAAGGAAGGGCTAGAGGGAAGAAGGAAGGCAGGAAGAGACAGAGACAGAGGGGAGAGGAAGAAAGGAAGACAGAGGGGCAGAGAGAGGAGGAGGGATAATAGATAAAGAGAGGAAAGAAAGCAGAGAAGGAGAAAGGTGGGACAGAAGCAATAAGAGAGGGAGGGAGGGAGATATGAAAAGAGGAAGACAAGGAAGAGAAGGAGAGAGGCACACTATCTCCAGGACAGAGACAATCCCCAGCCTCCCATTTCACAGGCATCCACTTATTATGCAAATGGAATTGAACTGAATGGAATCTCCCCAGTTCATATCTCCCTAAGCAGCCAGCCCAGTGTTTCTGCACCCATTAGAACTGTAGAACCACAGATGGACTTCAGAGCCCTCCTCAGACCAGCCCTCCTCTGGCGAGCCCTCTGTAATGTCCCTGAGAAATGGGCACCCAGCTTGTGAAGATGTCTAGTAACGGCCAATGCACCAGGGCAACTCATGCCATGTTGGGACACCTATGGTTTTCAGCAAGCTTCCCTGACATCAAGTCTAATGTCTTCTCCCTAAAATTGCAGGAAGGAGTGGGGGTGGGGGAAGATTAGGATTAGTTGGCTCCAGACAGTATTGCTATCTATGGAGGGGTGAATATGGAGATGTGTGAATCAAGGGCAGGAAATGGCCCCTCGGAATCGTTGGTTCTATAAAACTATAACGTTTTATTCTTTCAAGTCCTGAACTTTCTACTTCATGTCTTGGTATTTTGGTATATGTATCTGGGATCCTCGTACTGATTGTCCTGGCATCAGGCCCATTTTCCAGATAAGGAAACTAAGGAAAGTGAGGAACAACCCTTAGGAGGACCTAGGACAACTACAGAAAATGTAATGCAAATGAACTGGCCAACGAAGCAACACGATGAATAGTGTTGGATTGAAGCTGAGTTCCAATCCTGCTTCGGATGCTTACTGGCCATGAGATAAGTTATTTCACCCCTCTGGTGGAGCTAATAATAGTACCTGCCTCCCAGGGTTGTTGTATGGATCAATTGAAATAATATTTCTAAAGTGCTTTGCAAACCCTAAAGTCGTATGGAAGCTTGAGTCACTATCATTCTTATTTGTTGGGGTAGATGGCCCCATTGCTGGCCCAACGTATGTCAATGGAAGACCCTGACCTCCTGACTTCCAGCCTAGGGTTATGTCTTCTGGCAAATATCAGTGCTTATCCACTCATTTAAAGGGTGTCCCAAGCTAGACATCTCCTCTGCAGTTTGCTAGTCCAATCTCTTGGCCCTGATTCCCCATCTGAGACTCGCTATTAGCCTGCCAGTATCCCTCGTCGAGGACAAGACAGCAGGAGGGTTTCCCTTGGGCAGCAGCGTCTGCATCTGTAACTAGGGCACTGATACCCTGGAATGAAACATTCTCAGTGTCCCTGGTGGCATCACAAGGCTCAGGAACACAGCTGAGGGAACCTGTGGAGAAAGAGCTCTCTCCTGCACTCCAGACTCCCTCACCAGTCCCATGCAGCCCCAGATTGCCAGCCCAGGGGTCCTCCCTTACTCCAGCCACCTACTCATCTGGGTTTGTAGCAAATTTAGGCACTATGATGGGAGAAACAAAAGGCATTGAAGGTACAGCCGACTGGAGCCCACCTGAGTGCAAACACCAATCATCGACATTTACATAACTCTTTAAAATTTGCAAAGAACCATTCCTACATTATTTCCTTTGTGCCTCAGAATTCTGGGAAGTAAGAACTATGGGTAGTTATCCCTACTTTACAGATGAAGAAACCGAGGTTCAGATTGTTTAGGACTTCCCCAGACTCACACAGCCTAGTGCATGGGATCCAAACAGCAGCCTAGTGTAGTAGGATGGGTGTGGGTGGGGGGCTCAGTCACAAGACCTAGGCTTTTGTGTCAGCCCCATCCCAGCCCCAGTCTTCTGACTCCAAGCCCAGCAAGCTATCCCCAATAACAAACTCCTCCCTAATGAAATCTTCGGGTATATTGCACAAGCACGGTGTCCAGGAGGAGGGAAGAAAGAGCCCTAGAGTATTTGTCCCTGTATTCAGTCTTGAACGCCACCTTTTTGAAGGGATGTTGGTGAGCTGGAGCCTTTCAGAGAAAGATGACCAGGATGAGGAGATGACCCACTGGGACACTAGCTGAATGAAACTGAAATGGCTAGCCTAAAGAAGAAGATGTTCTGGGGGAGGGGTTCCCCATCCCTAGAAGTCTTCAAGTGAGGTAACCACTTGTTGGGGATATTGTAGAAAAGATTCCTGCTGCAAAAGGTCCCTACTGACTCCAACTTTCTATGAAAAATTCTTCCCAAGTTTTTATTTTTATAGCTTAATGAACATAGTGATCTCTGCTCTTAAGGATTAGGAGTTAACCCACTGTTTCACAGGCTACCAATCTAGACTCTGACACTCACTAATTGTGTTACCATTTAATGTCTCTGGGCCTCAGTTTCCTCAAATGTTAAATAAGGAGGTTGGAGTCAATGACCTCTGACGTCCCTTCCACCTCTAAACTTATATGATCCTATGACTGAGAGTTAGTAGACCTGGGTTTTGGTCCTGCCTCTGAAACTGACAAACTGCCTCGATTTCCCCAGAAGCGCAAGGAGGTTAATAATCTCTATCCATGCTCCTAAGCAGGTCAGCTGTGAGGCTCAAAGGGACACAGGCAGTCTGTGGCAGAGCCAGGGTTGGAACTAATGGTTTGGAAAGAGCTTTGGGGGAAAAAAAAGGCAAATGTGGTCCTAGTCCAAGGAACCCTGAACTGTTCAGCCATATGACTGTAGGCAAAGCTACTTACCTCTCTGAAGCTCAGTTTGCTCACCTGTAAAATGGGGATAAAGCATCCTTATATTATTACCTACTTGGCAGGGCTGTTGTGAAGAGAAGTACTTTGTAACCTTAGAGCACTGGAGAGATGGAGGTTATTTCCATCATTTCTGAGCTCCATACAAGATGTAGCCATACCCAGCCTCTGGCCAGAACCCCTTGGAGTCTGCTGGGAGCCTCAGGGACTGATGATTTCCCTGGAATGTTGAGCAGGGACAACTCACCTTCCGAACGATGCCAGTGGTCACCACAATATTTTCAGCCTCCTCCACTGTCTTGCTGGCCACGGTGTTCACACTGGCTACCATGGCATCGCTTACCATGTTGGCCTGTTCTTTGGTCTTTTCCGCAACTTGTTGGGGGAGAACAGAGAACATTTTTTTCCCCTCTGGCTTCATTTTTTTTCCTTCCTGACCCATCCCTTCTTTGAGGTGAGGTTGTTCTGTGTTCCCCAAGGTCCCTCCTCACTGTACAGTTAGTAGGCCTTGGTATGGTCACTTGGACACTGAATTATGTGCTCAATCTCCCAGGGATGAAGGCAGAGAGGGAGATTCCAGGATTCAGATTCTCAAATACAATTTTTCTCCACCCATTTGCACTTCCTTTCCCCTGAGCATGGCTCTAATGGCTCAGGGTACCCCCCACAAGGTATTCAGGAGAGTAAGGGGCCCAGATGAGGTGGGGCCAAGGAGAGAGAGACAGACAGAGACAGAGAGAGACAGACAGACAGAGAAACAGAGAAGAGAGAAAGAGAGAGAAAGAAAGAGAGAGAGAGAGAGAGAGAGAGAGAGAGAGAGAGAGAGAGAGAGAGAGAGAGACAGAGAGAGAGAGAGAGAGAGAGAGAGAGAGAGAGCGCTCTTCAGCACTTTCCACTCCCTTTGTGGAGGAAGAGTCCACACAAATGGGGCTGTGCCTCACATATACACCTAGACCACAGGGTTGGTTTTTAAGGAGAGGGTCTCAGGAGCATTGGCCTTCAAATGCCAATAAAATCCCCCAGGCCTGAGGTCCTAGTTAGGCCAAAATGATAGTGAACATGAAGGGGAGGAGAGTGTTCCAGGGCAGAAAGACCAGTCGGAATCCTCCTTTTGGGACCTGATATCTGGGGGATTCTGGGGAATTTTGATTCTAAGGAGGCAGCTTTGTAGAAAGAGTCCCAGGATCTCTCAACGCCTGGAGTCCCAGGGAGTCCCAGCTCCTTACCTGAGGTCACACTCTGCACCACACCCTCTTTAGTTTTAGTCCCTGTGAAAGAAGCAAAGCCCAGGTCAGTTCCCAGAACAGCTCAGCAGTGCTATGAGCCCTTGGCTCTCGCTGCCTTAGGGTATCTTCTGTGTCCACAGGATAGGGAAGGAGAACATAATACAGGAGAATGGAGGGCCTTCTGACCTAAAGGGTGAACTTCTTATTCAGGTTTAGGCAGTAAGGGGAAGGCAAGACCCAAGGAGACAGAGGTGGAAAAATAGGAAAGATGGTGATGCAGGGCAGAGGTTAGAGGGATAGGGATAGGAAAATGGAAGATGGAGAGATGAACGGTGACAGAAGAGTGGAAAGGGGCAGAGAGGTAAGGGGAAGAAGGGTGAAGAATCAGTGGGATGGAGGAACTAATAATGGAAAGGTAGATGATGGACAGAGAATGGAAAAATAAGACAAAAGACAAACACATGGGGGAACAGTATATGGAGAAGAGAAACAGAAAACGAAAGTAGAGTGTGGACAGAGGGAGAAATTGGGAGACAGAAGACGGAAGGGTAGAAGGCCAGGACATGAAGAGGCGATGGTGGGAGGGGACGGGGGGACAATGGACAGGGTGACAGAGATAGAAAGGAAGGGATAATGAGAAGAGATGGAGGAGATACAGAGGGAACATCCCTTCCATCCCAAGCCTGGCCCCCCAGAGGTCATTCACAGAGGGAATGACCAAGATTATTTTTTCTCTTGGGGTCTTGGGAAAAATGATGGGTTATAAGGTGACAGACACTTGCCTCCTTCAATGCATATTCTTATATATTCATTAAGAGAAGTCCGGCCTACATCAAAGGGCTCTTTCCTTCCATGTCTGGAGGAGCCCAATAGCACAAGACTGGACAGGATGGAAGAGTCTGAACACAGAGGAGGAGGGCACAACTTCCTCCAGGCCATCCTCCCCCAAGACAAGCTGGATACCCCCCCCCAAGAATCTCATGTCACCCCCTCCATGATCCATCCCTTGAAATGCTCTCACCCTAGTCCTGGGCTCTGTCTAGACTCTTTCTCAGCTTGGGACCTGTTACAGAGAGCTGGAAGGACTGTCACTGTCTGGTCCCCTGAGCTCAGGAGCATCCCTGCCTTCTCCTCCTCCTACCTAGAGCCATCATAGAGTATCATAATGTGGCACAGTGGAGAGTCCACTAGCCTTGGAGCCCGAAGACCTGGGTTCAGGTCCCATTCACAAGCTGGACAGCTCTGGGAAGGTCACTTAGCCATTCTGATTCTCAGTTTCTTAGGGCAGGGGGCAGTTGGCCTAAGGTCCCTTACCAGGTCTCACAGTCTGAATCTATGAATCTATCTCTGACTTGTGATCTTCCAGATATTGCCTGATAATATGGCTTGAAGTAGGGTCCGGGACTCAATGAACTCTAGATAGAGTCGAAACAAAGAAATCGGCTCCTGAAGACCTCTGTGCTAAACAGGATTAGAGAATAGAGGAAGAGCTGAGTCATAAAGTCAGCTTTCATTTCAGAGCCCTCTGAAGCTGAGATTTCTGTGGCAGGCTGGATGGAGACACCTTGGAATTAGGATAATTAAGAGGGAGGGGGATGGTGGGGATGGTGGAATTAGTGGCAGCACTTCCGTCCCCACCCTCTTCTCAGTCTCCAGCTCTGACCATTCCTGACCATTCCCTCCCTCCTCCACCTCCCCCAGACCCCAAAGCTGCAGGTGAGCCCCAAAGTGATCTGAGAGCCGGGCTTGCCTTCCCTGGGGAAGCAGCAGGTGCCTGGTGTGAGCCAGGAAATGGGGGAGGAACCCGGGGCAGTCTGCACATGTCTGCATTTGTCTGAGTCCTTAGAGGCCCCCTGAGTCACAGGCCAGTCCGCTAGGCCACAGCAATGCTTTATTCCTCCAGACAAAGCTAAGCACAAAGGGAGCAAATCACTGCCCCTAGGAAGTGTCTCA